TCCATGGCTCAGATACCAAGGAGTTCAGAAAGTAACCGACTGTGACTAGTAATAATCAGATATATAGAGATTAGAAATGCATATGAATCTTAGTGTCAGTTGTATTAAAAATGATTTTTTCTGTATGAAACTATATTTTTTAATAGTGAAACAGATTGCTTTTTATTCATTCAGTATTTTAAGAACAATTATAAATTGTGAAACTATATTTTAATAATGAAATGGAGATCTTTTTCAAAGTTTAAAACCTCATTTAATTTTATGTCTTATAGGGTTTATACGGAGTACAATATTGTATAACTGTATTAACTCAACTGTAAACCTAGTCAATTTTGACTCTTTCAAATTTACAGTCAATTTTGAAAGAGAAGCATCTTAGCTCTGGAAATTATTGAATATGTCAATGCTGTTGTAATGAAATGACTCTTCTAATCATTTGGTTATGAAATAATTAAAAAATTTTTTTCTCAATATATTCTTCTATTTTCACCTTCTCACAAACGAAGCACTTTTCAGTTTCTCTTTGGCATCTATGAATTTACAGCATCACTACTTTTGTGCTGGGGGGGGGGTCCCTTAGGATGTAAAATAAAGATTACTTGAACATAACCAGTACAATTCCACAATTTTTTTTTGTTGTTTAAGACAGGGTCTCCCTATGGTCCTAGCCCTAGGTAGCCTGGAATTCACTTATAGGCCAGGCTGGCCTCAATCTCAGAGATTCGCCTGCCCCTGAGTCCTGGGATTAAAGGTCACAACTGCTGATTAGATAACTAAGAGGGTATTCAGTTTAGAGTAGGTTCAGAAATGAATAATGGAATACATGGAACTGTTAAACTAGGGAACTCTTTCAAGAAACTGGCTTGAAGGAGAAAGAAAAGAAATTTGGCTGTATATTTAATGTCAAGGGAACATTTAGTTTTGTTTCTACTTTAAAAGGTGGGAGGGCTGGAGGGATAGCTTAGTCATTAAAGGCTCAGGCTCATAGCCTAAACATAAAGGTAGGAAAGCAGCTGGGGGTACACACCAACAGTGAAGTGTCTGTCTAGGCCCAGGGTTTGAGACCCACCACTGGGGGGTGGGGGGAAATCAAAAATTAAAGCAAGGTGGTAGAGATCTGGGTGTGTTTAAAGCAATGTTAAAAATCAAGTTCAAAAAAAGGTAAGATTTCTGAGTGGGTTCCTATATTTCAGTCAGAGAGTAGAAAGATATAATGAAGAAGATTCCACTGATATGATGAAAACATTCCTTGGTGACAATTTTCTAAGGCATGATGAATTGCTAATGATCTTTCAATAGCTAAGCTACAACTTCATTTATAAAGCTCTGATTTTTCTTATATAGTCTAATGTTGTCTTCATCTCTTATCTTTGAAGAACACTATGGTGACTTTCCATTACTTACACACTTACCTGATGATAAAGGGCTAAGGCCAGTTGCTTCAGGAAGTCTTTCTAGAACTTTTCTCTGTATAATTGGTGTGCTGTGAAGGCAGAGTGGCTCACACTTTCCAGTTATTGTTCTAGCATTAATTGGAGAGATCACTTGTGATTCCCGAGGCTTACTGCAGGGACTTTTTTGCATACCATCTTTTATTGGCTTTAAGAAATTCTCAATAGCTAGCGAACATAGCTCTTCTACTGGTGATGAGTGTCTATCATCGCCATTTAATACTTTGAAATCCGGGGATGTTGTTTGCTGCCAAGGTGGAATACCTAGAGAATCAGGGGAGCTGTAACTAACATAATAGTTATCATCATCGTCATCTTTCTCAGGAGTAGTTGCAGAGGCAACAGGTAGCAGTGTCTGAGTAGAACTTACAATTTGACTGCACCCTGTGGTTGATGTTTGCAAAGCAATTTGAGACTTAGTATCTTCCTTGGTATGTGCAGTAGTGGGAAGTATATGTGAGCTTGCAGTGATTTGTGAAGACATGACAGGCATGTCACCTGGGCTAACTAAATAGTTGACATTCTCAGCAGATCTTATTACTCCAGTTAATTCAGTTTTAGGAAGTTTCTTAGAACGTTCATATTCTTCTTTGGCATGAAGCCATGCTTGAACCAGTTGTCGACTTGGGGCATACTTGCAAGGCATAATTACAATTTTTTTATCTTCAACCATTTTATGGCTATTACTTGACCCTTTATTGACAACTGGTTGGCCATTACAAAGGGGTGACCCTGGTTTAGGATTCTGAGTCATTGCCGAGAATGCTGTTTTCCAAAGGCGAAGTCCTTCTAAGGAAAAGTCTCCTTCAAATTCAACCAGATCATTTGGAAGTCGAGTTTCTACCATGAGGAGCCGTCCACCGATCTCCCTAAATAAATTTTAGAACAAAGGCTTTGTCTCAAAAGACAATTACTCAAATAATTTCCTATCAACAGATTTAACATTCCTGTTAAGTGTCTCAAATATTCTCCCATCTTTTTTTCCCCATCCACCCCAATTTTATACAAAACACTGTGTTTTCAGCTTCATTATGCTTTTCTTCACAGGTATATAACTCCAACAAAGTTGGAAGGCATCGTAATACAAAAGAAAGTATTTTGTTTTGTTTTAGTGCCCCATTAAATTTTTTCATTGAAGATGACACAAACTCATCAAAATCCTTATTTCTATTAACCTGTGTGTGTTGGAGGGGTGGTGTATATATATTTTTGTGTGAGTGTGTGCATATATGTTGGAGGGCAGAGGCTTACACTGTGGGTCTTCCTCAATTACTCACCATCTTATTTTTCAATACATGGACTCCCTCTGAACCTGGAACTCATCGATATGGCTAGACTGGATGGCCAATGAGCTCTAGGGATCTGCCTATCTCTTTCCTCAGTACAAGGGTTAAAGACAAGTCTTTAGTTTTAATGTGTACCAGTGAGCCAAACTCAGGTCCTTGTGCTTACACAACAGGTACTTTACCAACTGAGCTATCTCCCCAATCACTCTATTAATCTTAAGTAATTTTCCACTGCCACCACATATAGATAAAAACAATGGAATAATTTATTATTCAGAGTCTGGATTTCTCTATAGCCTCTTTACATGTTCTCTAGTACCTGGGGTAGTTTAGCAAACCAGTCAATTCAAACAAGGCTTTGCATTTCCTAAATTCTCTCAATATTAAAAAAACAAACAAAAACCCATCATATACTTGCTGGTGGTATATCTCAAGAGTAGATGTATGAGGTCTTGGGTTCAATCAAAAAACCAAAATTTCCGCTTAGACAGTTGGGGCAAATTATCATAATTCCCCCTTCCTTTAAGTGGTAGAGTTTGACACAAACATAAAAACTTTGAAGTTGGCAGAGAACAAATGAACAGCTTAAATACCGTTTCCACATGCACACACAACCATTATTTAAAGATAATAGACTGGTTTAGTTTCTTTGTGTTTTTGTGCACGTGGACATCAAAGGGCAAGCCTTGGGTATTGTTCTTTAGGTGCTGTGTAATTTTCTTTCCTCCCTTATTTATATTTTTAAATTACTTTCATTATTCCAAAGAGAGGCAATTTTTAACACATTTTTTCTAGAAATAACTTGAAGCAGGTTACATGAAAAAATATATACAGGGGCTGGAGAGATAGCTCAGTGGTTAAAAACACTGTTCCTGCAGAAGACCTGGGTTCGAATCCCAGCACCCACATGGCAGCTAACAACTATCCGTAACTCCAGTCCAGGGGATCTGACAGTCTCTTCGGTCCTCCGTGGGCACTGCATCCTCCGTGGGCACTTCATGACACAGGTGCACTTACCTACATGCAGGCAATACATGCATACATATAAAATAAAAATAATGAAATATTAAAAATATATATACAATGAAGTCTGAAGGGGGGAGAAATAGAAATAGGAAATCAAAGACCAAAGGATTTGCCAAGATGGGGTCAACTTTGGTGGAATAATGAAGGTCTCCATTAACTCTTTTTCTTTTTTTTAAAATCCTAACAAGTTTATTGGGCTTGCTAACAGAGCACAGGGTGGGGGTTTATTTACAGAAAAGTGGGCACCCCCCCATTTACAGCTGCACTGGAAAGTCCACACATCCTATGATTCCCCAACAGCTGCGCAAAATGGCGAGAGAGGTGTCTCATGGTGTTCTCGGCTTATATATCCTTAGCCTTTCGTTTATTTTTTTAAGATATACTCAATGGCCTGGAATTCACTAAGTTGGCCAGGCTGGCTGGCCAGAGAGCCCCATGGATTCACATGCCTCCCCATCTCTAGCACTAGGAACAAGGATTACAAGTGTATGTTACCATGTTTAGACTTAAAAAAAAATTTATTTATTATTTTTATTTTATGTGTTTGAGTGTATTGCCTGCATGTATGTTGAGTGCACCCATGTTGTGCAATGCTGCGGAGGTCCGAAGAGGGCTTCGGATTCCCCTGGAACTGGTGTTAAGGATGGTTTGTTTTTGCCATGTGGGTGCTGGGAATCGAACCCAAGACCTCGGCAAGAGCAGTCAGTGCTCTTAACCACTGAGACATTTCTCCAGCTCCCCATGTCTAGACTTTTTAAAAATTTTAAGCACGAGTCTGTCTCCAAGCACTTTACCAAATGATCTATCTTTCTAGCCCCAAACTCCTGGATTAAGTCATGTACTCTATGTTAGCTTTATTAGCTATGAGTCACTTTGGTCATGAAAGTGATACAGAATACTATTTAATCATTGCTAAGTAAACCAGTACTATGATTCCCTCTTTACTATTTGCTGTGTGTCTATTACTTCCCTGAAAATCTTGAATGAAGGAAATGAGAAGGGGAACCAAAGCTCTTTCACCCTTCCAGCAGCTATAAAAAACAGTACTATCCATAAAACTAAGACGGTTGAAATCAAAGGAAAAGTGGTTTGTAATGGAATCACCAAAAGCTAATGTTCATTTAAAAGCATAATATCACTTAAAACATATGCATGCTTGGTTCCATACTCAAGAGTGCTTGGGCATGACAAATTGGACTAGATTTGGGGGGAGGAGAACACAAAATTACAAAGTTGGGTGGACAGGTTAAGTGGGGGTGGATCTGGGAAGTTGGAGGGGGATGATCAAACACATTGTATGAAGTTCTCAAAAAATTAATAAAACTAAAAATTAAAAAACCTATCAATGCTGTAGTTTGGGTTTTAAGAGTTTCCCAAAGGTTCATGCATTAAAGGTAAGGTTCCTAGTTTTGGACTTTAGAAATTTCCAGAAATTTTGAGATGGGACTTAGTAGGCAGTCTTTAAATCATGAGCACTGGTCTCTTCTGCTTTTTTATCACAGCCATGAGGTGAGCAGTTTTGCTCTGCCATGCACTTCTGCCATGACATGCTGCCTTGGCATAGACCTGAAGTAACAAGCCCAACTGATCATGACCTGGAACCTCTAAAATTGTGAGTCTAAATAAACCTTTTCTTTTTACTAGTTAGATTATCTCCATTATTTGTTACATGACAGAAAGCAGATGAACAATTTCATTTTCAAAAAAATCTTTAAAGAAATTAAATTCTATTTTAAAGGTACAAAAGTTTAATGCTAGGTTGGTGAGATAGCTGTGCAGGTAAAGGCCCCTGCTACCAAACCTGACAACCTGAGTGCAATTCCTGAGACCCACATGGTGGAAGGAGAGAACTGACTCACACAAATTGTTCTCTGATCTCCATGCATGTGCACCTGTATGCAGATGCCTACACATACACAATAAATAAAACCTTAAAAGCATAATATTTTTAAAAATTCCACTTAAAAAATTTATCTCTGTGAGGTATCAGAATGGAGTGCTTATCATTCCATTGCTGGGTTCAGTCCCCAGCAAGCCCCCTTCCACACTCCCACAGTTGCTGTCTATTAGAATACTTTGAAGTACTGTGACACTCTTCTCCTTATTGGAGATATGGTGTTAGGTACTACGAGATTAAAGATTAATAATCATCAACTTAAATTTCTCTAGGTATAACTTCCTAGTTAATGTTCTTAATCAGTTTATAATTTCCTTCATTTTCCTTACAAATGCAGCATCACAGATAGAAAACTAGCAATCAGGTATGAAATACTATATAAATAAAAATTATTCAAAACCACTCAAAGGTAAAAAACCAAGTCTGATTACCTGGGCTTTTCTGGTACATCAGAAGGATTACTGCAAAATGGTTCCTGATAAATGGTTTCTGAAAGATCATGATCCAACAAAGTTGCCACAATTTCTTCCCTACTTGGTGGGGACATAAGTGGTTTCAGAATATGAGCGGTTCGAGGAGTGAAACTGCCATTTTTAGACTGTAAGGGAGAACTGGTAGACCTTGGTGAACTATCAGGAGTTGGTGTCAACATATCATTGTTTCTTGAAACGTATAATTCTAAATCTTCAGAAGCTGCATCTACAAGTTCCCCATCAGGGGAGGAAAGTATGGTAGTAAAAGAGGTATTAACTGAGTCAAGAGACTGTTCCATTTCTTTTCTGGTGTGACCTTGAATCCAGTCTGAATTGCTTTGCTGTGGAAGGCTGAGAAATACTTCTTTGCTCACTGAGCTCCTATTCAATCTGGATTTTTCATTTAGACAATTCTCTGCTTGCTGGACACAGAAAGACTCCATTATTGAATTAGATCGAGTTGTTAGAGGATGAAAGCTGTTTTTCCACTGGCTGTGATGAAGATTCTTATTGTTATCCAAGGATGATTTCTCAAAAAGTTCAGGATTTAAAGTGCCAGATCTAATCCATGGGGTTGAGTCAGAGACATGATGCTTCTCCTCACTACAATTCTGTTTGTCATGACTTAAAAACTCATTTTTTTCTATAGCTTGTCCTGGGAAAAGATCCTGAGCAGCATCACTAAGAAACTTCTGAGGCAAATTCTGATCAGCTGGGACAAACTGACTTCCAGAATAAAAGCTACAAAATCCATTCTGACCAATTGTGTTAATATCAAAATTATAGTTATGTTCAGGAGACAAGCTATCTTCAAGTGAATAACAACTTTCAAAACCTGGATCTGAAAAAAGGATAGGACTATCATCTGACAGAGAATTATCCAATTGGCCAGATGTTTGTAAATTTAAAGGGTCTACTTTTAGATGTTTAGGAGTTTTTTCTTTAGGTTTTATATTTCTGGGAGTTCGAGGTTTTCTTGGAGACGTTACTGATCGTGTTCGCTTATTTGTCTTGTTATGCTCAAAAGAAACAGAAATATTTTTATTTGGCTGGTTATTAGACATTGAGTCCTGTGTAATATTTGCACTTTGTGCTTTCTGTTGTCTTTTTTGTAACAATTCTTTTAGAACAGCTAGGCCAGACTGTCCTTCACCAAATGCTGAAGGTGCTGACACATTTTGATTTTTACACTGAGAAAGTGCTTTGTTCTGTGAAACTGCTTCTGACAGTGATCTCTGTTTTACCTTTTCAGGTTTAAAATTTGACATATCTAAAATAAAGGCCCTTTGTTTCTGCTCCCATGTTATTTGTTTGATGGGGCTTCTCAAGGAAGAAACAAAGCAATTATTAGGTCCCTGGTTTTCCTCAGAAGCTGCATTTCCTGAAGTTTCACTGTGCTTTGATTGTTCTGACATGCACACGATCTGCTGTTGGCTGTCTTTGCAACGCAAAAAATTAGGGGCACAGACCTGGTCTGGCTTTGATTCTATAGAACTGCGATATTCATTTAACTTTCCAATAGATGGCATATAGTTTTTTTGTACATTTGTATTCTCTTCTGTCTTTGCAGACATTATACCTGCAGATATCTGTGTACTCTGTGCTACCTGAGACAAATGGTTGGAAAGCTCAAATATATTTTTTTGAATCAAGGCTGATTCCTTTCGAGTAAACATAGCACTTTGATTATGAGACCTTTGAATGTTAATTTTTGAGATTCCGGGTCCTATAGAACTACAAACAATTGAATGCAAGTCATCTCGTGAACTGGTGAATGTTTGCAAATCTACAGACTTCTTGCTGTCTAAGAAAGAAAAGCAACTAGATAGCTTCTGTTGTGTATTAGTGGGTTGGGAAGTAGAAAGTGGATGATCCACAGCAGAGCCTGTTTGTGACATCTCTTTCTGTTTAAAAAGTGCTTGAGAGCCAGAACTACTTGGGAGCTCAGATACATTCTGTTGTTTCAGCACAAACTTAACTTCAGTCTCAGACTGTGATTTTATTTTTTCATCCTTAAGTGTTATGTGCTTTCTTGAAGTACCTTTCTCATTTGCTTTTTGTTTCTGCTTTGCTCTTGGTTTCTTTTTTCTATCATCTACTAGTTTATTCATCTGATTTCGTTTGTTCCTTTTTTTAGTAACTACAGAGGAATTAGCAAGCTTTGCTTTTGATTTCTTAACTTGCACTCTTGCTCGACTAGTTTTTCCAGCTCGGGAATTAACAGTCTTATTATTATATGCATTAGGACCCTTAAAAAGCATTGTTTCTTTTTCTGCAGCAGCCAAAATTTCTTCAGCTCTTGGGTCTGTGGGAGACCAGCAGCGAGGTGGAGAAGAATTGATAGGACTTGTGCTTCTCTCTGAAAGAAAACCTAACTTAGACATAACATCACTATAATTCAAGTCACAGTCTTCGGTTTCAGCATTGTAAGATGGTGAGGGAGGAGAAAGAACAGCATGTGATCGTTTTTTCCTGAAAGATAAAGTTCTTTTAATATTTTCACTATTTGTTCTTTGTTGCTTACCAGTTTTTTTCTTAGCAGATTTATGTTTTGATTTTCTTCTGTGACTTTTCTTTGGTGTTAGTGGATAAATGGGATATTTGGTTGCAGGGGAATCAGGAACTTTTGGCCAAAAATCCTTCAAAGGTGCAAGCTTCTTATAGAGTTCCATTTTTTCTTCAGTTAGTAGTACTTGCTTTTCTTTAGAGTCTATTTTCCCTAGCTTCACAAGCATATTTTTTCTTCCTCTAAATCTATTAATAATAATATACTTTATAATGACAGGGGGCAGCTTTTTAGACATTTTTCTTCGTTTTCGAGATCGGAGAGTTCCATCTAAATTCTCACCAATTTCCATGGGATGAGGTAGGCTAATTTTTGAGTTCTGTGTTACAAAACTTGACTCACTATCTTCAGTTTCATAATTTACCTTGCGTTTAGCTCTAAGTGTATATTTATTTCCATACAGTCCAAAGGACTGTTCAGTTTCTAAAGATCCATCTCCAAAATGACAGTCTATAAAACTTTCTGTAGGTGTTTTATTTTCAAATGCCCCATGAGTGGCTTTAATTACATCACTATTCAATACATTATCCTTCTCAGAATTACTGTTGTAAGGATTATTTTGCATACAACTATCTTTTGTGGTTCCAGTCTCACTACTTTTGGTAGACGTCTCCTGATGACTCACAAATTTCTTTTTATTCAATTTTAATCGAGATGGTTTATTGCCAGGTTGTAGTTTATAAGTGACAGGAGATAGTTTCTGTGGTCTAGTGAGACAATTAGAAAGAACGACACTAGGAAAAAACATATAATGTGCTGCTTGCTGGCGGAGACTTGGCTTTTCTGTTTTATGCTCTTGAAATTCTTCATATCTGATTTTAAGTTTATTTAGTCCACTCTCATCAGTAATGCTATCAAGAGACTGTACCACAGTTCTATTCTCCCCTGAGCATGACGTATCACAACTTTCAGTTAATGAAGAAGGGAATATACTATTAAGAGAGGTGCTATTTCCTTTTTCATTTCCTTCAGAGGATAATTTATTTTTTGATCGACTTAAGTCAGGAAAGTTGAAAGAGTTTTTCCCCAATGTATTCTCACTAGTGTGGCGGTTCACATGTATGAAAGGGGCATCCTTTTCAATTTTTCTAATGTTTGTATACTTTCTACTTGGTACTTGTCTTGTAACAGATGGAATATCTTCTTCATAATCAAAAACACTACTTTCACAGGAAGATACTGGGTTGATATCTTTCTTACAAATCTCTTTATGAGAATTATCTGAAAGTACAGTACTACTTAAAGATCCAGGGTATTTCATAGTGTACATGTTTTCATTTTTTGTAAAAGAAGTGACTGAATTATCTAGACCTTTTTCTGTATTGTTTGGTGAAAGGTCTTCAATTAAATCTTCTTTGTTTAAAACTTGGGAAGAAAGGGCACTTGTGTGTTTACACTGAAAGGTAATCTTAGCAGAAGATGGGGGTTCTAATGTAGCAGCATCTTTGTGAAAGATAGAGGGTTTTACTGATAGCTTGCTTGTTGCAATCACAGAAGAGTGGGTTCTAGAATTTTCATTGTTTAATGGATTGTCTGGAATCAGAGAAAGAAAAGAATTTATTTCAATCCTAATTTCTTAAGAAAGAACCTTTATGGAATTGAAATTTGTATGTCTACATAGATATGTGAATTTTAAGTTTATCCAATCATTAAAGATAACTCAACCTAAACAATCAAGAGATCGTTTTTTTTTTTTTTTTTTTTTTTTTGAGACAGGTTCTTCCTGTAGCTCCAGCTGGCCTGGAACTCATTAAGTTCCAGACTGGTTTCAATCTTACAGAGATTTACCTGCCTCTGCCTCCCCGAGTGCTGGGATTAAAGGCATATACCACCATGCCCAGAAAAACATATATTCTTTTGATCAGAAAAATGTTACAGTAGCATTGAGGAATAAGGAAAAAACACCATCATATTTAAATTTTTTTCCCAAATATGCTTTTTCATAAATAAGCTGAGGTGATTTCTTAGTTTTCTATGTTATCTAAATGGTACCACCATAAACTATGTCATATCCTCTTAGAAATGAGGATTCATATTCTTATATTTTTTCCAAAAGAAATTGTAAAGACAAAATATAATTTGGGCACTATAGCCTCAGAGTCAGTTACACAGGAAGTGATTACATATTTTTCAAATAAAACGTTTCTAGTCACCTAATAAAGATACCCACAACAGATATGTTTACTTACCACTATTTTCATCTGCAGTTCCATCTAACTGAGGTATAGAAAGATTGGCAAAAAGCAAACTATTATCACTCCACTCCATTTCTTCTTCTGAAGATGAATCATCTTCAGTTGAACTTCTGTGGGTATTTCTGCACAGTGACCTAGAAATTTGAAATTTCATTGGTATGATCATTAGAAAAAGATGTATATTAGATAAAATGATCTGATTTGACTATAACAGTAAAACAATTTAAAAAGTTACAAAAACACATTTTTAAAAAGAAAAGCACCTTTATTTTGCTTTATCATTATGGTATCATAAAAAAAGCTTGTAAATAGAATTTATAACATCTTTCATGTGAAGTAGAAGATAACATAATTCTTAATTTTCAGTTCCACAATATCCTGGATTACCCTGTATCATCGTGTACTTTCTTATATTCTCATCCTTAGATATGATATGCATTTGCAGCAAATGAGAATCCAGTTATTTCTAAAAAAGGAAGCATCCTGACATCCTAAGGTATTCATAGATATATAATTAGTATATTCTGAAATGAAAAAAAAAAGTGAGGAGGGCATTCAAGTCAGGGATAGAGAGAAAACAGCAGTGATTTGGTTAAAAAACAATACAGACAACTGTTAAAAGGCAGGGCTACTGAAAAATTTAAATGGATTTTGAAGTTCAGATAATCTCTTTAAGTTTTATCTCATACTGATACTAACTTGGTATTTCTTCTTTCATTTAAACGCTCAAAACCTCTCTCTCCATACCCAACTTTTTTCCTCTGGCCTCAAATGCTTGAAAATATCATATATACAGAACAATTTCATTTGTAATACTTTTACAAATCACAATTTGTCATAAAATCACTTTTAAGTACTGAAAGAAAAATATTAGACATCATCTAAGTTTGACTCTAGTCAAACTTTCTATTTAATGCAAAAATCTTACTTAAAAGCTCTGATACAATCTCTGCTTTCATGTTCTCTGTATCAGGGACTTGCTATCTCAGGATAATCTTTCTGTCATTACCAGCTCTGTTAGTAGCTAACTGCATTTTGATATCATAAACACACATACATATATACACAGTCACACAGACATACACACACAATCTTTCCAACTTAGATACCATAATTCATGCTTTTATTTTCTCATATGGAATAGATCTGTCATTTTCTACATAAGTTTTCAGTATATAAATATATTTATCACTTGCCCCATAATTATCTAATTAGACCAAATATTCTCTATCCAAATGTTCTTATAAACTGACAGTGTTCACAGATTTTTCCAGTTTTTTTTTCTCTTTCTTTCCCTTTACTTTTTTGGTCTTCTTAAACTATGGTATTCACAGCAAAATGTAACACTTAATATACAGAATAAATTTAACAAATTCCTTTCTATACTTCTACATTCAATTTCTCTCTACTACATGTTTATGAAATGCTTGGTTTGTTTTCTCAGGGTTGAAATGGACACACACAGCTTGCAAGAATTGGTCCAAACACCAAAACATTAACTAAACTGTAGGAAAAACCATACCTACTACTGTGGTAAGTAAAGACTGTGTTAGAAGAATGTAACAGCACATCTGGAGATGTCCATTCCCTGATTTTTAAAACAGAAACATAAATACAGAGTTACATATGGTTGTAACTCCAGTTCCACATGGTTGTACCACGTGAGTGCAGGTTCTCTGGAGAGGCAGCAAGTGCTCTTAACCACTGACTCATCTCTCTAGTCACACCCTTTAGTTTTTGGAGAAAGGGTTGTATTATGTAATACAGACTGGCCTTCTTAAATCCTCCTCTTTTGGCCCCATGCCCCATGAGTGCTGAGATTACAGCATGTTATCACACCCAACTTAGTGATTTATTCTTTTAAAAAATTTTTTATTTACTATTTTTATGTGTATGAGTGTCGGGAGCCGCTAATCATTCAGCTGTGTCAGGCTTGTTTACTGAGTGTTATGCACACCAGTATCTAATCTGCCTTATTAGGAGGAATATGTTTATATGGAGAGCCTCACAACACCTGCAATAGTGGAAGCCTTTGATCTGACCGCTCCCTGACCCTCAGATACAGGTACTGTCCGTTTTGGCCGGCTGGCACCGCCAAGTGGCGCCTGGAACAGGGACCTGAAAAGTAGGGGATAAAGTGAAGGACACCGCTGGAGAAGTTAAGTGAGTGCACTCGGTACAATTGGGGAGCGGTGAGTATTTATCTTGGGAGAAGATGGGGCAAGCAAATAGTC